GGATCGAACGGGAATGCGTGTCACGCAAGTGTGTAGTTACTCCCGCTGAGCAAAGAATATCAGTTACCGCGCATTCAAAGACTCTTGAACTAATAATCTCAGAAAAACTAGGGAAGCTGACTAGTTTCCCTCAGACGATTCACAAAATACAGCGGTAGAACTAATCACGAGTGGAGTGTTTATTAGAATCTCCGTTTTTTTCTGGATTGTAAACATTGGGAGAACTGAAGTAAAATACAGCGTTATTCAACTTTCTCCCTACCATAGATAATGAACGAATGACAGTGAGTGACAATAATGCGTAACCGGTGTGGCTGGGCAATGAACATTCCCAACGTGTTGTGGCAAACACTTGTGCAACATTCCCCGAGTGACACCTCTTCATTCTACTATCAAGACGTGTGCGGTGTTATCATGGGGTCAGCTACATATACCCCAGGTGAGTCTTTATCTGGCCTCTCTTTTATCTGTTCCGCTGCAGCAGAAGATTATAGGGAGTGTTAAGATAGGACAAGACTAACCAACACCGTGACGCGTAAGCCATCACCAAAACCCAAGTGAGTAATCATCACATTCCATGTAAAATTGACATACTGGAACATACAGCCTTTGGGTCAGAATTAACCCAGATTACTCACTATTCTCAGCCACTGTGGACACGACTGCAGCGACGTCAAAGGTGATTCCAGGGAGAGGCTGCTGGAATTAGAGCTGTTAAAAATTAAGTACCTCTCATTTTTATGTTTTATCATGCTAACAGGTGTACTTATCTAAGTAGTTCCTCCACATAAGAGTGCTCACACCTTAATAATACTCCATTTTCTTGGATAGCCTGCCTCGTTCCTCCCTTTCCCGGCTCATGTACGACTTCTTGACAGAAGAGAGAACAGAACAGGACGACTCATCTCTCACGTGGACCCAGCCGGAACAGATCTGTCATTTCAGCAGAGCCTTCAACACCGGAGGGATGCGAGTGGTCTTGCTGTTATGTACAAGACCAACTACACTCTGGTTGTACCCTTCTCGAGAACATCACTTCATCTGAGATCTTTTATTCCAAGAATGACTCGAGTCTGGAACATGCTCATACAACATAAGGACATCGATGAAATAAAGCTGACCAAATGAAATCGCTGACCCCACAGATGGCTCCCTTTTTGTGTTTCATAACAATACGAAGGCTTTAAAATAACCTTAAGTAGGTAACAGCTCTTAGCTTGTAAATAAAGGTAGGAAGTCTTAGCCTAACCCTGTAAAAATCCTTGTGTAAATAATTTAAAAAAAGAGAAAGAGGGGAAAAGAGCGAGAGAAGAAAGAAAAAGAGAACTGTAGCCAAGAAGCTAATAGCACTAAGGCGTATCTCGTACCTGCTCCACAGTAGAAGCTGCAAGATTGTTCGAGTCAAGAGTGCACTCACACCTTGAGTACAGAGGCAGCGCCATGGAGAAATGGGGAGGGGTTCAGCCCCCCTTCAAAATTCCCAGCCTTCAGTAAAAACAGTAATAATAAGGCTGCTTCAAAACAAGTCTCTTAGCCCCCATTCTATCTAAATTCCTACCCGTAAGACCCCCCCCCCTCACCCCTCCCAGAATAAATTCTGGTGCCGCCCCTGCCTGAATATGTTCCACTTTCTTAGATTACCTGTCTTCCGTCTCATCTACGAATTCTGGACAGAATAAAGAACAGAACAAGACAACTTATCTCTCGCCTGGACCCGGCCTGGACAGATATGTCACTTCAGCACAACCTTCAACACCGGAGGAATGTGGATGGCCTTCTTACTGTTATGTACAAGGCCAATGTTGCCAAGGTCCAACACTTGGCTCCACTTCGTGGACAACGTGAAAACAGCTTCTACACAACAAGACGGGCAGGAAACATCTACACTGGCTGCTCCTTTCTCAAGAACATCATTTCGTCTGAGATCGATCATTCCAAAAATTACTCGAGTCTGGAATATGTTCGTGCAGCATAATCACATCGATGAAATAAACTCGGCTGACCCTACATATGGCTACAACTGTTCCCTATTTATGTTTAACAACTAAAAGGCTTCCATGTAAACTGAGGTTGGTAAAATTCTTAAGCTTTTAAATAATGGTAGGAACTCTTAACCTAACCCTGCAAAAACCTTGTGAAGAGAGAGAAAAAGAGACAAAAAGAGAAAATCATATTATGGTCAGCAAGGATACTCACTAGTTACGTTTCACCGAGCCACCATAAGGCGCGTCATGAGGCAGGCACCTCATGTATAGTAGGTATGTGGGTGTGTGGGGGTGGGAAGAGGAGATCCCGCATCTCCATTTCACCAAATATATTTATAACCTTACGACATATACTTATCCAGCCACAATATAAGTTTAAAATGTGCTGTTCTTCACAGAAGTATTTCTCTCATGACCAGTGCTTTAGCTGTGATCGGTTTCGAAGGCTCATCTACCGCCGTAGTTCAGCCTGAGGCTAGACTCCCCTGCTGACTACCTGGTCAACCAGGCTGTTTGTGCTGGCGGCCCCGCAGGCCCACATAACCATCACAATCCCGCTGATTAGGCATTTATAGCATTTGGAAATTTCCATCTTCGTTGCGGCAGTATTCCTGATATCTGCCAGTAGTATGAAGACGTCTTTAATTATAGATTTTAAGACTATATTTTCTAATTATACCCTTTGGCTTCCGTGCTCTTCACTGGGTGTATTCCACACTTTCTGGCATTACATAATATTACAGCAGTGTGCGGGTTAGGGACCAGGCCCTCAAATACTTTCCATGTGCATATTCTCTCTCTCTTTTTTCCTGATGAAGATGTTTGTCCGGTTTCCTCTTAAGACCTCTACACTTGTCCCAGCAGTGTAAGATGATGAATAATATGGGACCACGGACGTTGATACCGTTTTTCTTAATTATGTCCACTGCATCCCTACTTATCACTGGGTTTATTTTGCACTTCCTTCCACATCTCTCGTCCCAGTATGTTATGCAGTGTGAAACAAGGCCCTTAAATACTTTTCAGAGATATATTATCGTCTCTCTCTCTCCCTCTCCCTCTCCCTCTCCCTCTCTGCTCCGGTGAGTACATATTTAAGACTAAGGCGTTCCAAGTAATTTAAATGTTTTATTGGGTCCGGCTCTGATATTTCTCCTGCCCTGAAAGGAGCCGTCAACACTGTGCAATATGAGTCTCAGTAGTAGTACCAGTTCCTAGTAACCAGTTACCAGTAACCAGTGTACCAGTAGATGACTCACTACCAACCGTCTGCGTGAATCATTGACTGTTATTCATATTGCTGCTGACCATAGCAGGATTTCAAACACCCCTCACCCTGTAGGCACTTGTGGGTCAGTCGAAAATAGGGAGCAGAGAGAGGCAGGTCGGCTGTTGGTGCTTCCCATACTTCCCGTTATATATTATACGTACAAACCAGCCTACGTGAGTATTTTTACCCCATCCACGTTATCGAAACCCACATGACATGAGAGAGAACAAGCGATTTGACAATTATCACAATTGACATTATTTAGCTTGCTTTGAAAGTTCTCATTATCCACCCTCGTCTTTCTCCTGGTTGTCGTAACCTTGGTTTTTAGTTCACCAGGGCTGAAAATCACCACTAACGTTCAACTGAGCATTGCATTCGGCCTGTAGCCAGACTTGCTAGTTAACTGCAGGGTGGTATAAACCAAGGTAACTGATACCGTCAAATTGGTATAAAAAGACACGTGAGCAAACACGGACATATTTATTAGAAAACGTGTCGGTAGTGTGACCTTGATAACTTCTAAATATGTCTTAGCATTTGCTCACGTGTCTTTTTAAACCAGCTACAGGGTTATACATGTGATAAATCTGCCACCTTACAAGGGCTTTTCCGCTCTACCAGCCATATATTTGACCAAGCTTTCTTATTGAGTGCCTGCTCAACCAATCTGTTTTTGTCAGCACCACGCTAGACCACACAGCCATTACATCCTGGTAGATCAGGCATTGTTGCAGCTAGACGTCCATGCATAGACGTCTACAAAATCAATTCATAACCTACCAGCTTGGTAAAAGAATAAAGTCAAGTTTGTCTTCAAGAGGGAACTAGAGATACCCAAGTCAGTACCTGACCAGCTGGACTGCGGTTCATATGTTGGATTGCGTGCGGCCAGCAGTAACAGCCAGGTTGATCAGGCCTTGACCTACCGGGAGGAGTGATCATGGACTGGGCCGCGGGAGCGCTGACCCCCGAAATACTCTCCAATGTGGGTCCTTCGGTTGAAGGAGCAATGGAAGCTCGATCCTCCGTGTGGTAATTATGTCTGGGGTCCAGAGCACCAGAGGTGAAGCTGTAAGTCTAGACAACATTGCCAATGTCCACCACGCCTCATCATTTACACTATAATTATCAGGAGTCTTCATCCCTAATAATTACGCTGGCAGTTCCCCACTAGACATGATCAAGACTGCACCTGTCCCAGTGGTCAAGACTACACCAGACCCAGTGGTCAATAATGACTACTACTACATCAGTGACCCATAAATCGCCAGCTACTATTAAGTCACCAGTGACTACTAAGTCTCCAATGTTCCGACACGGTGCGGTCAAGACCGCACCACAAAGGGCACGGTGTGGTCAAGGCCACACCCGGTAGTCAAGAATACACCAGGCCTTTTATACTAAAGTACACCACGCCTGGTCTAGAGTACACCAGACCTGTTGGTCTAGAGTACACCAGACCTGTTGGTCTAGAGTACACCAGACCGTTGGTCTAGAGTACCCCAAAGACCTGTTGGTCTAGAGTACACCAGACCTGTTGGTCTAGAGTACACCAGACCTGTTGGTCTAGAGTACACCAGACCTGTTGGTCTAGAGTACACCAGACCTGTTGGTCTAGAGTACACCAGACCTGTTGGTCTAGAGTACACCAGACCAGCTGGAAAAGAGTACACCAGACCAGCTGGAAAAGAGTACAAACATTCTAAGTTGAGTTAACTTAAGTACAAGGTAATATTACTCACATGACTTGTGTGTTGTGTTGGTGGTAAGTAATCCAGACTAGGTGAACCTCGCACCTCACTGTGAAACTAGTGGAACACCACCTCCTCAAACTTTAACTTAACATATCATAGGCAAAAAAATATAATTTACTCTTATCTGCTAGTTTAAGGGAAGACTAAAGTAATGCTAATTAGTTATAAATGCTGCGTGCATAAACTTGATAAATATTTCTTTATCACACAGATTCTACAGTATGAGCTGGTATAATTGCGAGTGAGAGAGTGCGGGTGTGTGGCGAGGTTTGAGAGGGAGAGAGCGGTGAGGAAGGGAGAGTAAGGGAGGAGGGGCGTGGCGGTGGTGAGCAAGACACTGGTGGTGGCTCTACACTGCCGCCCGCTGGCACAACTAAGGCCCTCCTGGCCACCTCACTACTACTATTGCCACACCACCACCAACACCACCCCCGCCTCACGCGCCATTACCACCACCACTACCCCAGTGCAACACCCCTTGCCACCTCCTTTCCCACACTGTGGAGGAGTTGCTACAACTGTGTTACCGCCCCTGCCTCCCGCCCCATGTGTTGCTGCTAAACTAACACTCTGCAGCATATCTAATAACATGGTGGCAATTTTACCACCTTAACTAACATCACTAAAATAATTCGTAAAATGCATACAATACAAAACATTTAAGCTAACACCACTTGCTCAAACAATTCATGATATTGATATATTGATCAACCAGGATGTTGCCAGCAGCAACAGCCTGGTTGATCTGGCAAGAACTTAACAAGCCTGGCCCATCAAAGGTACGTTTATCAATAGAGGGTTCTACCTTCTCACCATCTGAGTTTGGTTAAGGATATTGTTAGTCCTCTTGACCACATTATGAATAACCATGGAAATGACTGAAGATCAAGGCTGATGGACTGGCCATCTCAAAACTATTACTTCAACGTTAATAGTAATGGGATCAATCTCATTATCTGCCTCAGTGCTGGAGCCAATGATCTCAGCTAGTGTACAAGTGAGGGTTTTGTTAGCAGGAATAGGAAGCAATAGATATAATTGGGAAGCAGAGATGGCGCCCTATTATATGGGCATTTTTGCCTAGAAGGGGAGTTGAAAATTAATGGTTGTCCAGGGCACTGACAAACACTGCAAGGATATTACAATACCATTCACTGACAACTGGGAACACTTCTACAAAAGAAATTATTGTATGCCAGGGGTAGGGTTTTTCAGGGCTAGGGGAAGGGCATAACTAGCTCAGGGAAAGGAGCTTTTTGGGCAAGAGGGATAGGGTTTTTGTGGGAAAGCAATGAAAAAATGGGAAAACAGAGGGAATTTTCAGGGGGTGATACGGAGTTTTGGGGATACCTTTTTAGGCGAATGAGGGAGAGTTAGGGGGAAATTGGAAAGCCCGGACTAGGGGGTAAGAACAGAAAAAAGAGATGGGGAGGAGCAGGGGTGAACAGGAAGAGGAAGAGAAAAAGATGGAGTCTCAATCATACAAAAATCCATCACTAGAAACCTGAGATATAATTTTTGTAGACGAAACGGGACATGTCTGCAAAAGTCACATTTAGGGTTTAAAGCGTTTTCCCTTTGATAAAAAACTGAAAGTGAGGTGGTGGTACTGTATGTCGGAGAACCTTGAACGCGACAAAAAAAGGGATAAAGAAAAGAACACACACATTTTTCTGGGGAGATTTTTGGAGGGGCCCAAAAAAAATTTTTTTTAGGGGGGTGATTACCGTCCCCCAAACTTAACAGGGACCGGGGGCTGCTCTGGTAGGAAACGTTTAAAAC